CCTTGCAAAGTGCAGGAATGCCGCAATTCTTCTGAGTCAGTAAGAAAAAAAAGCAACATTTTTATCTCTACTATCATGCTTTCTGCTACTGCTGCAATGAGCTGTCACGGAGGCTAACCATTTCCCTGCATCTGTTCAAAAATAAAGGTCCTATATATCATGGAACAGTATGGGAAAAGGAGACCCCCCCCTAGTGTGTGGGTACATCACAGCAGATTATATTTCAGCACCTTACGATACATCACCTAAAATGCATTTAATGAAGCATCTTTAATCACAACCAACTTCTGTAAATGCTCTTTCAAATCTATGTAACTGACTTAAAAAAATTCAAAATATTAAATTTGTCAATTGTGATTTTAGTGAGAATCCTGAAAACATTTTCCTCAAGCCCAAACCTGCAGACGAAGACTCTAAGACTATTGGTTTGTTGATCACAGTATTAGAAGGAGCACTGAGTCATGGATTGCAGAAAGCAGGGAAGAAAAAATAAAGCATTCATATTAGGAAAATAAAAAGGTACTTTTAGAGTAATTTACAAACAATGAAACTATCACTTTAGCACCATTTTATGCATTTCATATTTTTTCTTCCATAACCCCTGAGAACTTTTTTTTTATTTACCACAGTCTTCATCAAAGGTGGCTTATCTTACTTTTAAAGCAATCACTGATAATAGAATCTCTGAAGCCTTTTAAAAAGGAAAGATAAATACTAAAACCAATTATATAAGAAGTGAACTCTTACAGTTTTTTTCCTTTTGGATAATTCTGCTACAACAGATAAAAATGGAATTCAGAAATGTAAAATCTCCAATACCCATTTGCTGTTACCCCATTGTGTATAGTTTTAAGCACAGCACTCTGCTGGAATGGTGCATTAATAGTTAGATCCATCCCACTGGCTGTATCGTATTATCATGATGCTTCAGCTTACTTCTGCCCTGTGTACCTTTCACTAGTTCACGTTACCAGAAATGTTATGGTGTCCCTGACTCATCTGCACTCCAGAGCCTTCCATCCTGACAACCAAGCTGGACTGGAAGTCCTTTAAGGAGTGTATGTAGAAAGAACAGTGACTTTGTACTGTTGCTACATGAGAAGTATAGCTGCATGGATCTTGTAGTTGGCTTATATGCTGTTGAAGACCATGCATTAGAGTCTTTCCTACATTACAGCTGTATTTTATTATTTGTAAAGAAAAAAACAAACAAACAAACAAACAACTAAAAAAAAAACAGAGCAAAGCAAAACCAAACCACCATTTCAGGTTACTTAGATGACAGATGAGAACACATTATTTTTTTCCTCCATATTTCTGTGTCTCGTATGCCTTTTTTAAACATATGTAATGATGAAGAATTTTGACTGTTCAGTCATAACCAGTTTTCTGTTGCTGAGCTCCACCTGCTGACAAGTCTTTAAAGTACTGCAAAGCCTGCATACCAAGCCTTGGTTTTATTAGCAGTTCCAGTATAACGCTGCAGTACACAAAACAAATCTATATGAAACATTGCTATAGTGAGAAAACCACATAGTTTAAAATACATATTCTTAAGAATAATGGGTTTGCACCTTTGTAACATTTGTTTTTACCATGGAAGGAAAAAGGAGAAGACACATTAAACTGGCATACAGATTTCACTGGATTATTGCTAAACAAAATATGTTACTATTTTATATTAGCTAAATCTATTGCCAGGCTTAAGCACTCCCTAAATATTTTCTATTCTGTAACAATTTCCAAGTCAACACTGATGTTGTATTTTTAAAGTCTTACGATGAAATGCAAGCCACTATCATTGTACTTAGTTACCTGAGTAAACGTTTAACTGGCACTGTAATATTCCAAATATTCCTGATGTTTTTATTTCTAATCAGATTGTTAGACATATAAAAGTCCTGTTGTTGTTGTTGTTGTTTGTTTTCATTATGGTGGATTATGGCCATGCTATGTTGATCATATTAACAAGAACAGCATATGTATCTTAGGACAAATGACAGGCCAAACATACCTTGAGTGAACATCTAAACACTAAAAAGCTAGTTCAAGCTTCCAGCTATTGGTAAAGTTTTGGAAAGTGACATAATATATAACCATTTGGATATTACAACATTTGGGCAAAAAAAATCAGCTGTTTACAAGGAATAACCAGCTTTTTCTTAGTATCTATCTCCATACTTTTAACATAATTCTAGAAGAAAAAAATCACTATGATCCTTCTGATTACACAGTGCATAGTATCATAACTGTATGATTCTTAGGGGCTCAAAGACATTATTTTAAACTTGTAGCACCTTTAGAATTAAAATTATCTGTCTTGCATGGTTATCTCAGTAGAAAGGTATAAATGCTAGAAACAAGAAAATATGTTTTATTTTTCCACATCTGATGCCAAAATTGTTAAATGCAATGTTCAGAAATGGCCAAAAAATTAATTTTTTTAACTGCTTGCTATGCTATCACAACTGAACAAAACAGAATCATCCGGCAATTTCCTTTTTTCTTAAAATGTGTACGTGACAACCAATACACTGCTAACATTCTACAAACAGTAAAATATGACAAAGCCAAACCATACTGAAGATACTATCAAAATATGAAACTTACTACAGTTAACAGAGGCAAAATAGAACAAGGAAACAAAGGAAGTTATAACACATGCATAACATAACACTGTCTACAAAAACACATCAAACAGCTTTTCAGAATTTCATTCCTTGTTAGCATTCTATTGTAATGTTACCTAATGTAAGAGACATTACATTACAAAACAATCTGAAAATTATTCCACTATGAAATTGGCTGTATTTATATGATACCATATAAACAGAGACATGAAACTTTACAAAATTGTTTTGTATATCATATTGTTAATTTTAGATTACTAAAACAAAATCCACTTGTGACTGCATACATGAAAATTTACTTCATATGCATGTTCACAACATAAGCCAATTATGACTTTGTCATTCTTTCAAAAAGAGTTTGTAAAACAAGTGTTTATGATGAATTTCTGAGGAGGAATAATAACCCCATTCAAATGTAGTATCAGACAAAATTTATATGAACTGCTCTTAGATAAAGAGGAGAAACCTAAACGGATTTATAGCTGAAGAAACAATGATCCTCTTGAATGATACCAGGATGAGCAATGAGCAGCAAGAACATTTCATTTCTGATCATTTAGCAGCTGTATAATTTTAAGGAATTTTACTAAGAAAAATCTCATTGTAAATATCAGCAATATGCTTATTTATACAATCAGCCCATCAGTGTATTATTTTTTTCATCTTGAGATACAGTCAAGACTGCCCTCTCAAGGTACAGCAATCTGAAAAAAGTTTAATTTATACTGAAGTATCTACTGCTTTTTAGTCAGTTTTACTAGAACAAGATAGTAGTTAAACAAAACTTAAGTAATATTTGATTGTCTTAAATAACTTACACAGCACTTAAGTCATATTCCATTATTTTTCATTGTGTATACAAATTATAAGATTAAATCCTCTGAAGCAAAAATAGCGAAATTTTTCTTACTCTCAGAACATTTACTATATGCAAAAATATATTTTTGGCATCATTTTAGAAATGTCAGTATGTACATCCTCCAGCAGAAATAAGCTAAATTATCACAGATAACTTTTATTCAAAAAAAAATAACAGGTCAGAATTCTTCAGTGTGTATTGTACATATATGTAAGGATTATTTTCTCCCACCCACTAAAACAGATTTGGACCCCAGAAGACAGCCTTTAGTAATCTTGAATTGAGGTAGAAGAACACCATTCTCTTGATTAGATTCATCATCTCAACTAGCCCTTATAGACAATATTCACTAGCACTACTACAGGATATTACATGAAATAACTAACAAGATAGCCTACCCCAAAAAGATTGCAAGCCTCCTAATCTTCCACAATCATTATCCTGATCCTTCCTTTCTCCTTCTCCATCTTCTTCTGCTTTATCAACTCCTCCTACATCATGACAAGCATACAAGCTTTGTAAAATGTTTTGTACCAGTGAAAATGGCAACCACCTGCTAGTGCCTTGTAAATATTAAACAGTAGTAGTAGAAGCAAGAGAATAGTGATAATTAAGTATAACTGCAGAATGGGAATGGAAGAAAAAATGAACTTGGTTCCACAAATAGATAGACAAAACAAATGCATTCCCCTCAGAAACAACCATTTCATTATCATTGTACTGAGCTACTGCTCTGTGGGCCACAAGAAATGGCAGGCTAAACCTCTGAAGAACATAAGCCACAAGCATCTCATATGTGTCAAACGTAATCCATAAAAGCAAACACTACAGCTTGTCCCTTCAGTAAACAGATACTGTTTGTTTGCTTTTTTTATGCGGCCTACTATCTCTACGCATAGCTGCATACAACTGAGAAAAGGAAGTCACACAAAATACTAGCAAAGTAGCAAAGTACTTATTTAAATTACATGGGTTCTCATCACAGCACAAAAAGTTCCTTTTGATTATTAAGAACATGTAAACATTTAAAAATAAGTTGCAAAGAAAAGAATGCCTGTTTCTGCTTAAGAAGAGTAATTACAGTATGTAAAATTAATTTCTCAATTATACAATGTGTGGGGTGATTCCAGCAGCTTTTACTGTCAAGTTTTCTACCTACAAGTGTTAATGTATTTCTTCAACACAGCCAATCAAATTACCAATAGCTACTCAGTCATGTTTATTAAATCTATTGCAGGATTTACACTTCTGATTATACAACAGTCTAATAAGAATCTAAGCATTAAGTGTACAGAAGACCAAACCAAGCCCACAGACATACACAGAATGTTAAAAGTTACTGCAACTTAAAAAAAAAAAAAAATCACACAACTGAACAGCTTTTCTAAACAAGTCTACTCAAATGCAAAGTGAAGTTTATTCACTTCAGTAATCCCTGTGAATATCTTGAGAATCTGATCCCAGGACTAAAGTACAATAGCAAGGCTGCACAATTCAGATTTAAAACATACCATAGAAGTCACTGATCTGGCATCTTCTTCATAATTCACTACAGGTGGTGGCTCTTTCCCATCATTCTCTTGAACCTTTTGTTCCAGTAGTTCTTTCTGGGCTGTAAATTTTGCCTCAGAGCATCTTAATTGCTGAACTGTTTGCTTAAGTTCTTCCAGTGCTTGCTTTTGGCTCAGCAAGAGTACAATACTGCACAGAAAAGTAACAAACAATTTAAAAAATATACATGAGTTAAAATACATACTTTGTTTCATAAAAGCTAAAAAAAACAAGCATGAAAATTCTTGAACAGAAATACTTGTTCAAAGGCATAAACACATGAAGCAATTTAGAAAATTTTCAAAGCTACAAGACAATGCAAGCATACACCTACTTTGCCATTCTCTTTTGTCAATCTATCACAAAATGATGTTGTAATAAATATAGATGAAAATAATAATTTTGTCCACTTTTGCCTGAATTTATACATATCAGGGTTTCTCATCCTTTAGAGATGAAATACGTTTTTAGATTATGATTTCCAGTGATGAGAAATCCACTGCAATCCACACAGGTGTTGTAATAACTATTAACACTATTAAACCCACCTTACATCCAGTATAAATTCATCTGGCATCAAGTGAGAGGTATCTATTGTCTCTTCTGGACTGAAAGGTCCTCTACTGTGTAAGTATTTCTGGACTGCAGTATAACATTCTTCTTACGAAGTTAAATAAATCGAACTCTATGAGGGACTAAAAGCTATTTTTTCTAGCCTTCTGTACATTTTTATGGCTTTTCTCTGAATGCCCCTCATACCCCTGAATACTCCAAGGCAGACATAATTCAATCATTACTGAAGGACAAACAGACCACTTAGAACATCTACAGGTACCTAGTTGACTCTATTATCCCCAAGAACTGTCAAAAGCAAAAATGGACAGAAGCTGCCTAAAAGACAGAACCATCCACAGTACAATACAGATACCCTTAAAATCACTCAGCTGGAGCCCAGTGACGTGCTCTACAAAGAGACGCAGAATTTTCACAGTCTACAAGAACAGATGAAGGCAGTAGAAGCACCAGAACTATAAAGAATGAGGACAGTATAAAGAAAAATCACAGTATTCTATCACACTGTGTCTTCAGGATAATCCCTGGAAGACAGACTGTCCTGCAAGCCCTACCCTAGGAGAAAAAAATAAATTTGAAAGTCACTGATATTGAGATTGCTCCTTCACAAACTGGTGCTGAGCCAAATGACTATTCCAACAGGTTCCAAAGTGATAAAGAACCACCTGTAATAAAATCCTAATTGGCAGGAAAAGATACATATCATAACCCTATAGATGAGCATTGTATCAAATAACATAACTCCATGCAACTAACAGAATGATCATTAATGTAAGAAGGAAAGGCATAATGTATGAAGACACAATTAGAGGACCTGAAACTGAGGTTTGACATAAGACTATACACATTTAAAAGCATTACATAAAGAAATGAACAATTATCCTGTCAGTATCCTCATGAAAGCGTTCTTTTGTCCGGTCTTAATTATGAGAGAAAAAAGAGATGTGAAATCTATGAAAAGACATCTATAATGGTGGAAGGCCATCTGCGGGGCTTTGGTGAATATACATTGGCTAGAATGACAACATCCTAAACACCAAAGGGTTTCAACTCATCATGATCCAGAGATAACAAGACATACCCTGCCAGTTAAAAGTCATGAGATATTCTCTTTCCTGAACTTTGGCAAGATGGTTGGTTTATTGTCTAACTGGTTTGCACAAATCCAACATAGAATGCTCCCTATTCCAACTATTCAAGAGGAATTAGAACCTATAAAATTATTTGCCTATGGCTTTCATGAGTTCAAACTTTATAGTCCTTGTGGCTATCAAGAGCTACTAGCAACTCACAGGGTGAGATTTTGTGTGAAGAATCCTTGCAAGACCAAAACAGGGGAACAGGTCAGGAAGTGGCAAAAAGCTGAACCAAATCAAAAAACAAATATTCAATATGCTATCATGTCACAAGGGCTGATGGTATGCTTGACAATACATATACATAAATAAAATAGAATTAAAACACTCTCTGTGTTGCAGGTGATATCATCATTTGAAGGCCGAAAGGGATATTGGTGCCAGGATAATAGTACTAATACAGCTAAATATTGAGGAGAAAGACAAAATCAGAGGCCTGGAGATACACTTCTGTGCGTTTCCTAATGAAAAGTGCAGTATATGCAAAATTCAATTTGCAGTGCTGCCGAAATTCAACAACAAGAAATGCTTTCAAGTTAACTCAGACTGCCACTGCAAAGTCAGTAAACAACTCAGAACTTGTGGTATTTAAGCTGTGTCAGAAACAAGTGAGGAGACAGATATTTTTGCTTTATCATTTTGTCCAGACAAAGCAGAAAAGATTTTGTCAGCACTGAAGGGCAAAGGTCAGCACCTTGGGTGAGGCTCAATGATAACAGAGGGTATCTAGAGCTCCTGTATTTGGAATGGAGCTCCTCATTTTTTCTTGACAATAGACTTGCATTGCACCAACAGAACGACATTTGGCTCAAAAGGCAAGCTTTAATTTATTGCTCAACTCACTTTCACCTTGCCTTGCAGCACTGAGGCCAGTGCCATATGCTTTGACAGCAGTCAAAAACATGCAACAGTTGGAAAAGATCTTCTAGGGACCATAAGTACGTGCAAAAACATGCTGATCATCCTGCACTGTCGTTAAAATGTGAAAACAGGGTCTGCTGGAGGAAGGTGTGACCAATGACAAATTAGAACTGGGGTGACTTCGGGGAAACGTTTATCTTGCAGCTAGAAACCTAAGCCAGATTTCATGTCTTTTAATAACACCTACAGGTACTGGTACAGTCTGAAGTGGAATTATCTCTTCGATACCATAAACACCTGCTACAGAATCAGTCAAAGGAGGACGCTCTGAACTATTTTTAGAGAGAGGTAATGGATAACAAAACAATACTGGGGACGGGTGGGGGGGAAACAACAAAAAACCCTACCAAACTCATCTAGTTCAAACACAGTTTATCCTTTAACATGCAGCAAGGAAGGTAAGTCAAGAACCAAAAAATTGGAAAATATATTGTGAGTACATGGGAACTTCACTGAAGAAAGAACAGGAAAGTATCTAATCAAAACATTGATATCATCTATACACATAAAGTTTTGGATATGAATGAAAAACTATCCAGTCTATTAAGTGACCAGATACCTTCAAGACTTCTTCAGGGAATGAAGACAGGATTAGCCAAGGACTTGCATTCCAATTCACTGGTATTGTACTAATATTTATAACCAAGTTAATAAAGTTATTACTGCAACAAGAACCAGAAAAAAATCACTACAGACTATACATTTCTTTATCTGTTACATTAACTTCAGTTTAGGCTGGCATGTGAATATTTTTTCTAAATAGAGGTAGGAAAAAAATACTAAAGATCTTGTCCAAGAGTAATTCTTTATAATAATGTTTTATGTATGGCACTATAAAGCACTCATTAATCCCTTGTCTTCATATTTACTATGCAGCCCTACAGGGTATCAGCTTTACATTCAGTTTTGTAAAGAAAATGAAACAAAGAATGAAGTTAACCTGATAAGTTCCAAACGTTATTGCATTAGAAAGAGTACACCTTGCACATAACCCTGGAAAAGTATTTCACAAAAATCGCAGCTGCACAATGAACTCTGTCAAACAGAGAGGCAATCTGAACTGACTCCTTTCATCAAGCTACAGTTATAATACTAACCAAAGATCCATTGAGCCATCCCACAGCAATTATATTAAACTAATGGAGCTGCTCATTTCTCCAATGAATTAGGATCTGCAGTGGTTAAGCGTTATTTTAGAGATGGGAAACTAACTTAATGTTGTTACCCACAATAATCACTTCTCACAGAAGCAGAACAAGATTAGTGGAGGTTATTTCTTATTCAAGTATTAAGAATTGCATTATAGATGCTTTTCCCTCAAATTATTGTATTTTTAAATTCCATTTTGACTTACTCAGACTTCTTTTCACAAGTCCTAGATGACTCTTCTATCTTTTTCTCCAGTTCCAACACAAGTTCCTCTTTGCTCAAAAGGGTTTGCTGTGTCTGAATCAGTTCTTCTATTACTGTTTTTAACCTGTAAGACATAGATTTCAGAAAGCCACGTTGTGAGTACACAAACTGTAAATATTTGGGAACACTATTTTTTTTTTCCCAAAGACAAAAAGAAGCATTATTCTTTAAATTACCTTACTCAGTGCTTGGTGATTCTTTTTGTGGGTATACCTTTATATTATATTATATTATTAACCCTTATTATTACATATCCCATACTAGCTTCTGTATACATAAAAGGTTACAGGTCTGCTGCCTGTAGGCTCTCCTATTAAGACAATTTTTTTGAGAATGTGTGATGAGTTCTGTGAATTAATGCCTTTCTAATATATTGCTAATTTATGAGATACTTTATGAAAGACAAGTCTTCCAACTCCCGAAGTACATATTAAATAAATAGACAGAATCAGCAATTGGGCTGTATTTATCTCTAGAAATAACAAAAATACAAACTGACACTTTCTGTTATGAGTGATCTGTATATTTTTCTCAACAAATAACTTTCTTAAAGCCACACAATCCTTGGTAATGGTTAATTCAAAGAAAAGAAAGAACTTGTAGAAGACTAGATGTTGTGGTTTAAGCCCAGCCAGCAACTAAGCACCATGTGGCCACTCCCTCACTCCTCCTTCCTTGGTGGGATGAGGAGGAGAATTGGAAGAAAAAAGGTAAAAACTCATGGGCTGAGATAAGGACAGTTTAATAGGACAACACAAGGAAAGAATAAATAGTAACAATAATACTAATAAAAGAATATATAAAGTGAGTGATGCACAATACAATTGCTCAGCATCTGGAACCCAACGCTCAGCCCGTTCCCAAGCTGTGATTCCTCTTCCCTCTGACCAGCACCCCCAGTTTATATGCTCAGCATGACATCAAATAGAATTGAATATGCCCTTGACTAGTTCAGGTCAGCTATTATTCCTTTAGTCTATGGGCTATCCCTCTAACGTGTCCATTGAGTTAAATTAATGCATGACTTTGGGTCTCTCTCTGTCCTAACAGTGTTTCAGGGTAGGGGAGATTGTGTGTGGTGTTGGATTGGTGCATGCTGCATCTGGAGCTCGTGGTTGGTGGATGTGTCACATCCCACACCCATGCCCTGTGGGCTGAAGATGTCAATCTTGAAGAAGTTGTTGGATGCCAGTTGCTGAAGCCAGTTCAAGTTCCACTGCTGCTGCAATTCACTCTGTTTCATCAAAGTCCATCCTTCAGTGATTTGGGTGATTCTTACCATAATACCACAGATATGGCACATAGCAACTGTAGTAGTGATGACATACAGTGGCAGAGTTACTTAGCAATTGACATCAAATGATTTAATTCACTGGCTATTCTCACCCAAAATCAAATCCCCTTAAAGTAGAAACTGAACTGCCCCATCCTTCCACATCCCCCAATAAGTGCACCCAGGCCCCTGAGCATAAGCAATCCCGTGGATGTGCTTGCCTTTGGCCAAGGCATGACTAGCCCAGGTGGTCTTCCCTAACATATTCTTCATGTGCACTACAGGGACTTCATCTCCCCCAGGGTACATGGAACCTTTCCGCAGGGCCAGTTTGGTTGGTAGATCCTCTAGTGTTAACTAAGCACAGAGTTTTTGCTAAATGTGTGTCCTAATGTTTGAAGGTCCCACCCACAATTGCTCTAAGTGTAGTTTTTAGCACTGCATTGTATCATTTATTTTACCAGAGGCTGGTGCATGACAGGGAATGTGATATACCCACTCAATACCATGCTCTTTGGCTCAGATGTCTATGAGGTGGTTTTGGAAATAAGTTCTGTTGTCTGACTCAATTCTTTCTGGAGCACCACGTCATCAAAAGACTTGCTCTTCAAGCCCCAGGACAGCCTTCTGGGTAGTGGCATGTGATATGTTTCCAGTCATCTGGTGGTCATCTGCGTAGGTGGGTTTATGGAAGTGTGATACAGTCTGCCAGGCCTCCCCACATTTATATTTCAGCCACTGTCCTCCATGCCACAGAGGCTTTAACTGCTTGGCTTGACTGACTGCAGCATGTTTCACATTCATAGGTAACCTGTGCAATGGTGTCCATGGTCAAGTCCACCCCTCGGTCATGAGCCCATCTGTATGTCGCATCTGTTCCTTGATGGCTTGAAGTGTCATGTGCCCTCCAAGCCATAAATAATTCACACTGATGTTGCTAGTCCAGATCTACCTGAGACACTTCAGTCTTAGCAGCCTGATCCACATGCTGGTTGTTTTGATGTTCCTTAGTGGCCCTACTCTTAGGTATGTGGGCATCTAGGTTACACACTTTCACAACCAGCTTCTCTAACTGGGCAGCAATATCTTGCCACAAAGGGGCAGCCCATATGGGTTTGCCTCTGCACTGACAGTTACTCTGCTTCCATTGCTGGAACCACCCCCACAGGGCATTTGCTGCTATCCGTGAGTGAGGAGAGAGGTAGAGCACTGGCTGTTTTCCTGGATCAGCAATGTCTAAAGCTAGCTGGATGCCTTTTACTTTCGCAAACTGGCTCAATTCACCCTCTCCTTTATCAGTGTCTGCGAACTGTTGTCTAAGACTCCATACAGCAGCCTCCCACCCCTGACGCTTTCCCACAACGCAATAGGACCCATCAGTGAACAAGGCATATCGCTCCTCATTTTCTGGCAGTTTATTATACAATGGGGCCTCTTCAGCATGGTTTGCCTCCTCTGTCAGTATTCCAAACTCTTGCCTTCTGTGACCACTGCCAGAATTCCTGGGCAACTGGGGTTTCAAATGTGAGCACGTTGTGTGATCAGTGTGACCCACTTACTCCATGTGGCATCAGCTTCGTGATGCATAGAGGAGACCCTCTCCCTTTGCATGTCCAGCCCAGCACCAGCAGTTGGGGTGCCAGGAGGAGCTCTGCTTCAGTACCAACTGCTTCCAAAGCAGCTTGAGCCACTTCATATGCTGCCAATATCTTTTTCAGTTGGAGTATAGCAGGCCTCAGATCCTCTGTATCCCCAACTCCAAAACCCCAGGGGTTGGCCTCAGGTATCCTCTGGTGCCTTCTGGCAGAGGTTCCTGGTAGGGCCAGTCTCCATGGCTGCGGTGTAGAGCACATTTTTAGCATCTTGTCCTGCCTGGACAGGTCCAAGGACTACTGCATGAACTATCTCCTGCTTAATTTGTTCAAAGACTCATTGTTCAGGGCCCCATTTAAAATCATTGTTCCAGGTCACTTGATAGAGAGAGTTTACAATTAGACTCCAAAACCCACAATGCCAAGAAAGCTTGTGTTTCTTTTTTGTTAGTCAGTGGAGACATAGCTGCTATTTTGTTGATCACATCCATTGGGATCTGATGACAGGTGTCTTGTCACTTTATTTCTAAAAACTGGATCTCTTGTGCAGGTCACTTCATTTCACGGCAAAAAAAGCCTTCAAAAGGATTTGAACTATTTTCTTTCCTTTCTCAAAAACTTCTGCTGTGTTGTCCCATACAATGATGTCATCAACGTATTGCAGGTGTTCCAGAGCTTCACCCTATTCCAGTGCAGTCCATATCATTCCAGGGCAAATGGTAAGTGTCATGGTTTGAGCCCAGAGGGCAACTGAGCACCACGCAGCTGCTTGTTCACCCCTTCCCCTTTAAGGAATCAGGAGGGGAAAATAAAGCAAAAGGCTCAGGAATTGAGATAAGGACAGGGAGAGATGACTCACTCATTATGGTCCTGGGCAAAAGACAGACTTGTTAGAGGTAGAAAAAGAACATCAATTTAATTCAAACACCACCAACAGTCAGTCTTTCACACGTTGTTTCTACCGCTGCTCCTTCCTCCTCAGGGGGAGGACTTCTTGCACTCCTCCTCTGCTCCAGTATGGCGTCCCTCTCATGGGAGACAGTCTTCCACAAACTTTCTCCAACATGAGTCCTTTCCATGTGCTGCAGCTCCTCACAAACTGTTCCAGTGTGGGAACTCCCTCCTGCGTGTCACAGTCATCACAGCAACAAACTACAACAGCAAGGGCTTTCCTCGGAGTCCCGGCCTTCTTCAGGCTCAGCCACCTGCTCTGGTGTGGGGTCCTCCACAGGCTGCAGGTGGGCATCTGCTCCACTGGTGACCTCCATGGGCTGCAGAGGCACAGCCTGTCATCTCACCATGGGCTGCAGAGGGGATCTCTGCTCTGGCCCACCTCCCCCCTGCTCCTCCTCCTCCTCCTTTCTTCCACTGATCTCAGTGTCTGCACAGGTGTCTGTCTCCCTCACAACTCCCACTCCTCCTCCCAGGTTCCCCTTCTTAAATACGTCATCTCAGAGGCACAGCCACTATTACTAATTGGCTCAGCCCTGGCCAGAGGTGGAGTCCGACTTGGAGCTGGGGGAGCTTCAAGAAGCTTCTCAGTGACTGCTGTAGTCCCCTCCTCTGCTACCAAAACCATCCCCCCACACACAAACCCAACACAGCAGAGCTGTGTTTCCACACCTAAGGCAGTCAGTTCCAGGTGTAATGGACACCCCTCCAAGTGAAACCAAACCATGGCCTGTATACTGCTGCCAAAGAGATTGAGAAAAATGCATTAGCAGTATCAGTTGTGGCATACCACTTTGCTGCCTTTAACTCCAGTTCATACTGAAGCTCCAGCATATCCAACACGGCAGCACTCAGAGGCAGCGTAACTTCGTTCAGGCCATAATAGCCTACTGTTAGTCTTCACTCTCCATTAGATGTTTGCACTGCCCATATGGGACTATTAAGGGGTGTGTGAGTTTTGTTGATCACCCTTTGGCTCTCGAGTCAGTGAATCAGCTTATGGATGAGAATCAGAGAGCGTCAACTGGTGCAATGTTGCCATCGGTGCACCACTGTGGTAGTGATTGGCACCTGCTGTTCTTCAACCCTCAGCAACTCCACAACAGGAGGGTCCTCTGAGAGACCAGGCAAAGCGGACAACTGTTCAATTTCCTGTCTCAAAGGCCCACTGATACCCCTTTGGGTCCTTGAAATACCCTCTCAAGGTAGTCTCTGCCAAGGATGCTTGGGGCCTCTAGGCCAGTCACA